CAGCTAAAGGGCTAATAATAACTACCAAAACGCCTGGCATTTGAAATAAATAAATATTTATTAAAGCTCTTATCATGCAAAGTCACCCATATGCATTTTGTAAGATCGATAGGGCTTATTTTTTAGACTTCTCGTATGCATATGAACACGTATTAATTTGTTACAATCTTACCATCCAAAAAGCCTGCCTTATTGTTGCCTATGGAGGTTTGAACTTTTCACCAACTCCTTACGATGGTCAATCCTATTTGTTGCTTTAGCCCAAATCTGTCTGTTGAATTCTTTAAGAAGGGTATTGTTTATTATATTATTATTATCAAATAACGTATCACAATTAAGGGCTTCTCGAATACTCCTTATTGGCAGCTACTTTTACTCGGAGTAATTAATATTGTTAGGAGTAGAACTCTGAGTGATTATTGAATATTTTACCTCGAAGTAATTATATATTTTTTATTTTCTTCCCATTATGTTTGAAAACAACACTAATCACTTTGGTTGTTTTATTTTGATTTTGGGATAACAGAATAGAAAGATTTAAGACAAATGCCTCACAAGATAAATAATTTATAAATCTATCGAATTGTATAACCTGATGGACCTAAACCACAGCGAATAGTATCTCCGCAAAGTAGAACGCACAGGGTTGCGCAGCCCAAGTGATTCGAAGGAGAGGTGAACACGCGGGGGCGGTGCGAAAAGCTTGTGTCTGTATGCGCAAGGGAGTGGTAATTCAAGGCCACCGAGGAGGCGTGAAACGATTTTAAGATAAAACGGAACAAAGGAAAGAAAAGAATAGGAGATTCGGTAAACTCGTTCAGACACGGCGGATAGGAGTTTGAGTCACAGGGACACAGAGGTAACACTGAAGCGTAGTGGACGCGAAACCAAAGTATTGGCATGTAAAATGCCATTAAAGAATGATTTTGTTAACTTCAACTATCCACTGAGAACTACATTATGCTTTACTTAGCTCAATTTGACCTTTAATAATTCATCGCTATACAACCGACTAGTAGTGCAGCCCCATCGTGGTTGAGATACCAATTTATTGCTCATGAAGGCAGTATATGAATCTATTTGCTTTGATTTTGTTTGAAGCCAACGTTTCATTTTGGTCAAAGAAACTGAAGTACCGTATAAATGGCGATTCCCATAAAGCTATCTGCAGGAAGTGATGTAATCCTTAAGATTCAACAGCAGATCAGATGAAATAAGGCTTTCAATAAACAAGATTTTCAAAGACTCGATAAATTTTGCAATTAAAATGACGTTTCCATACCGATTGAGTGTTCTCATGGTCAAGACATACTAAAATTTTTCAGTTGAACTTATCCATGCTACGGCTGTGTTGCGCGCAGTTGGATTAACCACTGGGGTGACGCGCGACCAGGTAGTTAGAAAATACACCCCGATCACGTTCGCAACCTTATGCCTCTCCATTCTTGTTAAGATTGAACAAAAGGGAAAACTTCTTTACTTGTAATTTTTACCTTAGATAGAAATCCCTATGATCACTGTAAAATGGCATAAAATTCATCAACTTCCATTAGAGAATTTAACATCTAAATTTACAAAGTCTGCTTCACTAGCATAAACAAAACCTGGGTCACGAACACTTCTTCGCCAGTTTTTAATTCGAAGACACTGGATTTTTTTCAAATATACAAAAAAACTGATTGTATATTAAGTAAAATAATCAATAAATTTAGATATGATCAAGCTGAAACACAAAAACCAAGGCACATTGATTAGCCGCCAAATTCAATAGGCAATAAATATTAACTGTCACTCAAAAACCGACTAATTTGATCTTTTTTTTGTCTGAAATTAGAGACACCGAAATGTATCCTAATTAAATTCAATGTCAAATTAAATTGAAATTTTCTGCTCAAACAAATTTTCGTTCCCGCTTCTTCCTCTTCTTCCTTTTCTGCTAAGCAAATTATGACACAAAGACCCTCAATGTTTCAATGATGTTATAATTACATTGCGCCACTACTCACCTACGTATGCAAAAAGTTATTCACGAATCTTTCATAATGTTACGCCTTTTGAAATGATTTAAAATTAAGCAAAGCCAAAATTTTTGTAGCGCCTCTCAATGTGCCATTTGAATAAAGCTGGGCTACTGGTTGTGAAAATAAGGCTGCAATGAACCTCCTTAATCGAACAGGCGGTAAGTGGTTCTCCCAGCAAATCCAGATTGAGAATACTGGTATTGGAAGTTAGTGATGTGAAGCACACATCAAATAAATACTATACGACCAAAATTCAAGAAAATTAATAAAAACCTTTTAATACCTTAACTTTGCACATTTTGCATCCACTCCACTTTATCGATTATTGGGTTTTAATTACTTACACACATTTAAGGTATTTCAATAATTACTTACGAAAGTATTCCTAGTATGGAATAGAAATGATTTAATTTAATAGCAATGAATGGTAAGATCATTCACTCCTATGTAAATACGTTCAACCTTGTCAATTCAGCCCACTTTTTCTATTCAAAGATTGATCTTTCATGGCATTTACCGGCTAGCATAATTTCAACTAAGGGGTGCTGAGATATTTAAAATTGAAAATCACTACTAAACTCAATTAAGATCACTACTTTTTTATCATTAGTTTATGATTTTGAGAAAAAAACAATTTGTTACCTGTAGCCAGTAAATGAAGTGATTCATTTGAGATCATTCCAGAAGCCCGTACCAGGCTGTGTCTTTCTTGATTAACTAAATTTTCACTGACTTACGCTCTAGTGTAAGGTCTAGCACAATAATGATAACCAGACATGCACTAAAGTTTTAATAAATCATGACGAGTATGTTAGCCAAGGCTGTTGACTGATAATGAGCATAAAAGAGTTGTGAATGAGATACCCCTTTGAATAGGGCATGGTCGGTGTGTATGACGGAGGAGCTATGGTGGTCCATCTTTGAGCTGCGACATAGTCTGAATTCGTGGACCATCACGTTAGTAAAGCATGCCCGATTCTCAAGGTCACTAGTATTAGTAATCGTCTGGTGAAAGAATGACGCATAAATAACAATTCTCTGTCCATCTTTAAGGTCTTCAGGTGGAGGTAAAGGGAAGAGAAGTCAATCGAATATTCCTTAAGGCTAACCTTCACTTGCCTACCTAATTGAATATGCTTTTCCTCCCTTGATAAAAAGGATAAGCAACTCTTCTTTTCAAAGGGGGCCAACCACTTCACCAAAAGATCTGGGATGCTTAACGCCTTTAAGAAACAGCCCATAGGAAAGTTAATCACTGCCTGATGACGTATATTCTGGTGCCTTGGTTACATTCACGTAGTCGTGACCAGAAAGTGGTAGACGTGATCTGACAGCCTTGGCTTTGCATTATCGTTTGGCACTATCTCACCAACCTTACCTCCCCTTTGTTATTGGAGGGATAATTCAGTAATGGATACTTATATTAAATCGATAGAGTAACTTAATAATCTGAAATACGCGAGGGAAGCATATATCATAAGGCACTATCTGATAGAAATCGCTCGTAATTTCTCAAACTTCGTTGTATTGTTTATGAGAATTGTTTAAGAATGACAACTCTTGACATTCCTAGTATTGAGTAGAGCATCTACTTCCACAAAGATCCATCATCTTTTTGCACTTTAACAGCAACCATTTCCTAAACTTCATACTGTGAAAAAATGATGTCACACTTTTGAATATTTAGATATTGAGAGGCAACTATGTGGAGTTATTTTTCAATCGCTTTTGTACGCACTCCTTGAAATCCATATTGATCGACCTCCAATAGAAACATATCTAAGCCTACCTGACCTGTGGTCTTGAAGGAGTATACTTTTAAATATCTGATTTCGTCACACTTTAGAATAAAAGCTACTAAATAAACTATTAGAATCTGCCGTAGTGACTACTAGAAGACTCTGATACCCCCAATTATCATATTATTGTCAATCTTTACAAAAACACTTTGCATACCAGAGTATTCAGGTTACTATGGCAACTGTTAACCTTGGTGGTTTTTTAATTATTAAGCGCAACAAAGCCTCTCTAATACGAAAAAGTGGGAGAAAGCTTAACACGACACTCTTTTATTAGATACCATTCAAAATTGAATCGACGAAAAAGGAGGTAACAACGTGACATAAGCAGGAAAGTAAATAGATGCGCTAACAAGGCTAGCATGCAAGTAATTAGATGATGAGGAGGAGGCGAAGGGAGGAGCTTCAGAGGAGAAAAGAACCATCCTTGGTAGAAGAAAATCCGGAGATAAATGTTGAAGACTATTACCACTTAATTCCAGCAGCAGTCTCAGCCAAAGTTTTGGCGCTATGTAGAAGTTTTTCCTTCTCAACATCGGTGAGACTCAAGTTGACAACGGAAGTGACACCGTTTGAGCTCACAACACATGGCACACTCAAGAAGACGTCGTCATTGATGCCATATAGTCCCTGAAAGGAATTAAAATAACAAAAATTAAAGTTTTCCAAATTGGGCATTTATTTGCCCTACTCAAAAAGTCATACAACCCACCCTTCAGAAGTGTTGCCGTGAATTATATATGCCCAAGCTACCGGAGAGTTCTGAACTGCAAAGATGAAGTTGACTAGGAGCTAAACGCTATGTTTCAAGAGGTAGGCTTGGGCGCAAAGAAACGGAGCCAAATTTTCCCTAGGATAAATTGATCTAGCTTGTGTATGAAACTGCGCAAAACTATAGATAGATTACTGGTCGTTAGTGGCTGAAAAAATAAGCGCTTGTAGAACTAATTACATTTAAGTCACTGAATTTGTAACTTTTCTATTAATTAGCAACTCGAAAGAAACAAGTATGAATACTGCGGAGAAATTCAAGCACAAGTTACAACACAAAGAAAAAAATTTCTAACTACAAAGCTTTCAACTTTAGAAGTAGATGTAAACTAAAGCTAGAACACATTTCGTTGTATCTAGGTCTAGATTTAATACCATCCTAATAGCAATAAAGATTTCAAGCCTACAAAAGCGCATTGCAGCAAAACTCACAGAATATATATCTCGCGTGTGATGAAATGCACCAATTTTGGACTTAGAGGCGTAGTGGTAAATTCTTGTTAAGGCATTTAGAAAAACAATTCAAATAAGTTAATTAAATTTACTTTGACGTTGGTTGTCAGGGGAATAACAACGTTGCGATCATTGAGAAGAGCACCACAAAGATTTGCACAACAAAGGCCAATAGCCCATGAGGTGTAGCCCTTCAAACGAATGATTTCATAAGCGCTGGAGAAAAGGAGATAGATATCGTAAAGAGCATTGTTTAGATCGAAACTTCAAGTAATAAAAGACAAACCTGTCAACGACATCCTTATGCACAGCAACAAAGTTGTTGGGATCACCCTCTTCACCAAATTTAGGGTAGACACTGCTCAGATTGACACCTCCAACAGAAACACGACTCCAAACGGCAACTGTAAATCAATATAGCAATTTAGAAAGTCCGTGCTAACTATTTATCAAGGACGGAAAGAAAGATTCCTCACCACTTGAGTCGCCGTGTTCACCAATAATATAACCATGAATGGAACTAGCAGCAATATCTAACTTCTGACCCAAAATATGTCTGAAACGAGCAGAATCTAAGATGGTTCCGGAACCAATAACTCTGTTTCTTGGCAGACCACTCAATTTCCAGGTAACGTAGGTGAGAACATCGACTAAAATTATAAGAATTTGAGCATTAAATGGGAAGCATAAAAGGGTAATAGCAAATATTGACAGAAAATAAACCTGGATTCGAAACAACGACAATAATGCAGTCCGGACTGTACTTAACAACTTCAGCAACTATTGCTATAGGAAAAAGTAACAATTAAAAATTTTAAATCTTTCCTAGCATTAAAAATAATGGGTCATTTTACTCTTATAGATATCTACGTTTCTTTGGATAAGATTCAGACGCGATTCTCCAACAGCCTGACGAACGCCAGCAGCGATAAAAACGACATCGGAATGGCTGGTATAGCTGTAATCTTTACCACCGATTACGTTACATCCGTGCAAGAATTGTGACCCATGTTGCATGTCCAAAACTTCGCCCAGACATTTATTTTCGTCAAAATCAACGAGAGCTAAGGTGTTCGCAAGACCTTTTGTCATAACTGAGAAGGCAATGGCCATGCCAACAGACCCGACACCAACGACAGAAACCTTGGTTTTTGGTTTAGAATGTACATTTGGTGCCAAAGGAATAAGAATTGACTGGTCGGACATGGTGAGACTTCGGAGCTAAACGACAAGAAAATCTATTTAAGATACTGATTGTAGGTCAAGATGTAAAAGAAACTGGTTGATTTAAACATATATCTCCATTGCTCTTTATTCCTCATGGTTTGCTAACAGTTACCTATGTACTTGATTTTATTAGATTTATAATTTATTTTCGGTAGAATTCATAATTATTGTGTGTTTATTTACCTTAGTTCTTACCACTTCAGTCATATTTACCAATTTGCAAATAAAGCTTTTTACTAATAAATCACTCTAACCATTTTAAAACGAAATCATTAAAGATCCCCTTGAATTTAATTTCTTAAACATTTTTTGTTATTTATGGATCTCTTATATTTGACTAGTATATGCGAATTCAATTAAGGTTATGAATATTTTCCCTTAATAATAAATACTTAACTGTCATAACAAATATCCTTATGAAAATAGTTCTGATATTTAGAAGTCGATACAAGAATGACTCCTATTTTAACTGTATATAATTCGACGCAGCAAATTTTGGTTAGATTACACTAGTTGTAAAGTTAGGAACTGATTATGATGACCCCTCACAAATTTAGAATTATGTGCATTTAACCTCACCTTGGGAATTCTTACCTCCGAATGCCAATTTCTTTGGTCATAAACGCCCAAAATATCAAATCTATCAGCTTCTATGTTTTACCTCAATATAATTGATTCAACACAATTCAGGTACTACTCGTTCATTTCATATGAAAGCTCTCCTCCTCTGGATCGGGATCACGTCCAAAAAATAAATGGAGTCCCTCGCTATCATAACGTAGCAAATTAGAAGTCTCATCAGAAATCTTAGTAGATCAAAACAATTTAGAAAACTGTAATGTGGTAATTTAGTACTAAGCCATTGACTCAAATCAGATCACATATGCGTTATAACAGTGACGGTAGAATATACAATCGGTGTGGACCTAAGCAAACTCTTAAGAGTTACAAATTGATTTATATAAAGAGAAAGTTATATCTTAATTTATAGGAGCATTATTTAGAAAGTGGAGTAATAATTGGGGTCATCAGAATATTTCAGAGATGGCATTTATCAGAACTGCTAAGGTCATAAACAGTCATGTTTGTTCACGTCCCTTTAATATTTTGGGCTATAGGATAAAGTAGTTTTACAGCTATTTATGCACCTTTGTCGATGAAAAAACTTTTCTTAGTCAACAGAATAGAGAAAGGGCAATATAATGAGAAACAGAACCTGCTGAAAGAGGACCAGCTACGGTAGTGTGTGCCTTCGGAATTACAATAAGCTGACCACTAATCATTGTAAGTGACTAATATATGTTGATAAGCGCAATGGATAGATAGAGAAAAGGGTGACAACTAGATGTTCATGCTGAAAAGATATTACAGTTGTGAATTTCTACATTAGGGATATCGACACATAAATTATGTTGTAGACGTTGTGAACTTACGTTACCATTGAATGGAAGTCGGAGTCACTGTCGTTCGGCTGAGTGGACAGGGCGATTAAACACTCTAAGACGCACAAATGAGAGAGGAAATTTTAACTCAGGAAACTGAGTTCACGTTTGCCATTCTATCCTTAAGTGCACTCAAGTACAACTCGTTGTTCGAAGTTGTTAATGATCGCCCAAAGCTGTCTGATTGCCAGTACTTGTGGCACCTCACCTTTTCAATTCCCAATACATATTTTTATTTTCCATTCAATGTTTGCAAGGCAAGCATTTGTTCAACTCAACCCATGGTCTTCTCATTTTGTCGAGACTGGCTGTTTCCGTTTAGGAAGAAAACGGCTTTGAAAGATGGTTTTGAAGTCTAATCTGGTCGAGCTTTTAAGGAAGCTTTAAGTTGTATCATGGAAACTTTACTATTCACTCTGGAGTCTAGATTTGTCCCATTAATGCACATGATATCAACCATGTCATCTTTCTTTGTGCTTATCAATACGACTATCGAAATCATTACCTTCATATGGCTTGGATGCATTCTCTATTAAATATGGGCGTGGAACGATTAGAGGCTTACATTTAATGAGGACACTATTAACGCTATTCATTCTCACTATGCCATCTTCCAGTGTCTCAACGATGTCAAGAAGTATTCAAATAGTGCCACACTAGATGTCAACTTGAGTCTCATTGAAACAGAGATGTCCACCCTTGACTGTTGCCAGGTTAAAGTGATAAAGTCTTTAGATCAGAGGTAGTTTTTCTTCACCTCTGAAATCTCCTTCGATCTTTTCATGACTACTTTCATGATTGGTTTTCCGTCGAGCTTTATGGTATGCTT